AAATCAGCCCATGGAAGAAATCTTTTGACAAAAGTGTCATTATAAACGGAATTCTGAAATTTTATTGAAATGTCCTTGCCAACCCAAATGCGATGCACTTTTATGCCTTTTAATGGGTTAACTGCCCAGAGAATCACACATTCTTCGGTAATCATGGTGAGATTATCATTTTTAAGAACTTCACAATCTATTACACGCATATTGGATTGTATTTGATGTACTTGATGTACTGGAATCCGCCTATATTCTTTAGATTCTCCGGATTTTTTTGGATCAAGTTCGTATGCCTTAAGTGTAAACATAATATTCTTACAATCTAATTCCCATTTTATTAAAGACCAATCGTCATCATATACATATATCTTCCTTCCTTGAAGAAGTTTTTCTTTGTCAACAGTTTTTATGAATTCCTTAATGTCTTTTTTATATGAGGGAACCGAAATTTTGTTATTATCATTCAAAACTTTTCTTAAATATCTAATCCAGTTGTCTTCTACTGTTACTTCTTTTTTGTCTTTGTCTGTTGCTATTACTAAAAGATTCTCAATAAATAATCGGTCATCACTTACATAAATAATATTATCCGATTTAATTAAGTATGGTGTATTGATCTCAGCATTTAATCTTCTAAAAAGTTCATCGGCATTGATAGGATTCAGTAGAGTATAAGGATCCATTAACCAATAATTGAAAGTTCTCTTCTCATCATGAAATCTGTGAACCTTAAGATCTCTTTCGATTCTTTCAGAGCTATCATGCATATGTGATATGATAAGTACACGCTCACCAGCATTAAAGGCGATAAAATAGATTGCATCTATCATTACTGATTTTTCAAAAGTATCTATAGACAAACAATTACCAAAACTAATTTAGCAACTCAATATCTAAATTCATAAGTATTCTTTAAATATTAACTGAAACTTACACGTCGATAAATTTATCCCAGTTGTTGTAGAAAAAATGTACAAATACGTTTTTTTAGAGCTGTTTGCAGATACACCTAATAGTTCTTCGTCATCACTTAACCCAATATTTTCTAATTTGAAATCCCAATCCAATAAAATTTGTGCTTCAATCAACAAGGTTTTTAAATTCCATATTGTGATCTCATGAGTTACTTCATTATAAAAAACCAATTTTCCTTTAAAAGTTATATATATCTTATTTTTTGAATTACTATAATTATTTAATTCAATTATTGATTGGAAAATCCATTTGTCATTATCATCTGTTTTTCGGGAAAGGATATATGCTTTATGGTCTTCAGTGTTAATCATAACAAGTTTTTCATCATTAACGAGCTTTTCATCACTAACAAGCTTTTCATCACTAACAAAGGACAAGTGGCTAATACTTCCATGCATATATGGGAAATGCAGCGAACCAGTTTTTCCTGTCTTGAAATCGTAAATTTCTTAAATAGCATAAACCTAATTAAATTTAAAAATAACAACTGACTTCTATTTCAAACTTAACTCACCAAAATTATAAGGACTTGATCTATGAAGTTTTACTGCACCATATCCATCATCCGAAACCGTAAATGTCTTTTGAGTTTCTGATTCGACATTGATATTTCCTATCGGAATCATATTTACATATCGTAAACTCTGTTGTTTTGGATCGATAGGATCGATAGAATCGATAGACCACAAAACCACAGATTTATCAAATTCACTCAATGTAGCTACATATTTTAAATTAGGCGAACAAACAACTTGTGTAATTGGATATCCATTATGTGGGTCAACGTATATATCAAGTTTACAAGATTCCTCTATCTTAAAAGGTTCAGATTCCATTTAAGATCAAAAATTTTTGCCATGCAAATATAACATGGGAACATTTATTTGAGCCACGCGTGGCATTGAAAAATTTACAAACAAATAGAGTTTTTAGCCTTATTATTTGTTACTAGACCAATTATATTGCATCAATACAATCGACTAATGTGCAATCTTTAAGCTAATAAACCTTATATTACGATTAGGACTCTAGCATTTGTGAAATAATTAATTTTTTAGCCATCTTATCTTGCTCACGTGAAGTTTGAAACATTTACTCAAAAAGAAACTTTATTGTTACTAGTTATTTGACTTTAAAAACTAAAAAATTCATAATTATGGTATCGTATTAGTATTGATATTGTCAAAATCGCTTCTAATAAAGCGTTCAAAAAACAATGACAAAATTTTAGGTAATGATTGGCTAATCAACAAAAACTCTGATTGGCCAAATTTAAAAGAATCAATTTTCGTTATTTCAAGGATTTTGTGTCTCCGATACTTTTATGGGATTTCGTGAAACGATTGATTTTTAATCTTTTCTTGCTCATGTGAAAAGGAAATATTATTTTTATTATTACTCTTTAAAAGCTAAAAAGTACATAATATGTTAACGTATTACATGCTTGTAATGTCAGAATCGCTCCTAATGAAAGTTGGTGGAACACTTGATCCCACTTGATCCTGTGTAACAATATTTTGTCATAAAAATAAGTATCCAATCAAAACAAATTTCTATCAAGTGGCTTTTAATTATCGGGCTGATCCGGGACAATCAAATTTACGCATTCCGGTTGGTCATTTCTCATGCGCCACATTACGTTACTGGAAAAGTGTCTAGACTCCTGGTGGAGTTCCCTCCTGTTCACCTGAGTTGCCTCAGTTGTCACCTGAGGCAAAAATCTATCTGAGGCACAATATATATACACCATACGCTTTTTTAATTTTTCCTATCCTACTCAACTACATTTGCACCTCATACCATACTACTTTAGGTAATACCGAGTTTAAAGTAACAAATGTTAATCTAAGACCCGAATCGACGTATACCATTCGACATACCAAATGTTTGATTTTGAATAATTGCCAATATTTCATAAACTATTAATTCATTTTCGACGATTTTTGTCTAAATGAATGCGATTAATATTAGTACTGTATTCGTTTAAAATTATCCGAATGATTGACCACCGTGTAATGGTTTATATTGCTGATCTATTTTTGATGATTTTGAACTTAAACGAATCTTGCTATTTATATCGTTCGTTTAAGCACAATCGAAGAATAATTTTCCGACCACTGTAATTCGCATAAAATTATCATGTATTCAAAGTTATGGTAATTTCACAACCCTGACACTGTATGCTGTAGGTTAGGGTAAAGAGAATCTATAATAAGTTTATACCAAATTATAATGTGAAATTTTTTGCAAAGGGCACGAAAAGCAGTTTATACATAATCAATAAAAAATCTGGAACGGAATTCTTGATTGCAAATCTGACAGTTGTGCTTATGCATAATTCCAGAATGTATTCTAAATTTATTCGAAACGTGCGCACTAATCGTCATTGTCATGGATTAAAATCGCTTTTGTTCACTCAAATATGCATCAAAATAAAAGTTCATTAAACCATTGACTGATGAATCTTCACTTTTTGCCACATGAAATCACATGCCACATTTTTATTCAAAACGCCAGTTCGCAAGTCACTGCAACATAGGATTGATACTCTTTCCCAAAGTATTCTCCAAAACGGTAATAAATCTAGACGGTTTGATTCAAACGGTAACTGAGTGATGTGAGTGATGCCAAAGAAATTTATCTGGTTTCCTTTCAGCAGATTCATTAAAATGATAGAAACTATAACAGTTTCGGCAATTTTTTTTCGCTTAAAAGAGTATGATCTACAGTTATCCACAAGATTTCATAGTGATCGACAAGTTAGTACGTACGTATTATGACGTAATTTGAGTTTTTCATGTCATTTTAGAGGATCAAATATAGTATAGATTACCCCTTTTAAAAAACTATTTAACTTATTTTATATAGTTATTTTATTGTATTTATATTATAATTAATATTCTAATCAATATTAAAAAGCCAATTTAAAAGCTTATATTATAAAATATAGTAATTAATTTAAAATTTTTTAAAGATTTTATTAAGGGGTAAGCTATACTATATTTGATCCAATTTTAGATAGTCAAAAATACAAATGAAATTATGCGCAAATATTGCTATTTTTGTGATTTGCTAATAATTGTAATTACTTAAAAAGTATGCAAATGCTTCTACGTGTTTATTTTAATGGTTATAAAGTGCAAAAAAAGGTGGTTCGTGACAAAACTTTTTTGGCTAAAATGATGTAATGATATACTCACTGATCATTTAAGGTGCCGCCAATCAAAACGTTCCATAGAGATTAAAAAAATTGATATGAAAAATTAATTGCACAGTACAGTTCAGCAATTAGCATGGAGTGTAATTGTCTATTTTGGTGTCCGATATAGTTTATTATACTGTGTAAGTTGTTACAAATCACAATGTTATAATTAATACTGAGTAACTATTGTTTAACCTCACTATGGTACGTTTTGATTGGTGACATCTCATTTTTCTCTATTTAAGACTTCTTCCTTGACTTAATAAATTACGTGTCGTACCTTATTCATCTTAATGATATACACGTTTAATCAGTTAAAAATATTTTCCTCTAGTAAAACTTTAATTCACGACATATTTCTGACATATGTTGACTCATTGATTAAGGCGTTTGAGTGTGGCAATTGACTTTAAAATGATAAACATCTGAACTACGGATGGATGAAGATTATTCCGCACGTACGTACTGTACGTAATATTAGATGATCGATAGTCTGTATTACTTGGCTACAATTACATTAACATTAATATATCGAAATCATCCTTGTGTGAATTTGGGTTATATATATAATAAATTCTTACTTTTCGAACTTAACATTTGAATTCTTCACTTTAGTCGCTATCATACTTCACTATATTCCTTTATAAATATCTTTAAATTATTTTCGTAATTTAATTTGCATTATGGCTCACGAATTTTTCGACTACGATTCAGGCGATCAATCTGAATTCACAGATAAAAACTTCAATGACGCTAATTTTAATGAAGAGAACCCAATTCCTGTAGTTTTAGTTGAAGGGTTCATAGGCCCAAGCAAACCTTCTTATTGGGGTCCAATAAAATCTTTTTTTTCTAATTCTTATGAAGATCAACATTATAATAAAGCTGGTATAGACAAGAATGAGAAGAAACTATATCCCAAGACTAGACGTTGCATTTTCGTAACACCTGGTTGTGGAAGTTCTTTACACGACAGAGCTGTTGAGATTTTTTATCAAATTAAAGGTGGAAAAGGTACGCAACAAATACGTGATAGTTGATTGACAGCTTATTTCACACTTACTTCTAGAGTTATTACCCGGGTCGGTTGACCCGTACGGGTCACGGGTCGAAAATTACTCTAATCCGGGTCAAACGGGTCAGAATTCAAAACACGCAAAAACCTACCCCAATGGGGCTACTGCAATTTAGCAAATATAAGAAGATATTATAAGTTATATATTACATAAATAATAAAGCTCTTACCCGTGTCGTTCGATCCGTGCGGGTCAGCTTCTTGACAGTCACGTATTTACAAAGTAGAAAATGAACGAACTCAAATCGCGAGCAAGGTCGAAAAATTTTTCAGCATAAAATCCGAAAAATTCCAGTTTAAATATTCGGAGTACAGATTCTAACAGCTCTAATTAAGAGTCGTTACATCAA